TAGCCTGGAACTGCGACTTTCTCTTTTTTTTTTGTAGACAGAGTCTCACTTTGTAGCCCAGGCTGGAGTGCAATGGCACAATCTCGGCTCACTGCAAACTCTGACTCTCAGGTTCAAGGGATTCTCATGCCTCTGCCTCCCAAGAAGGTGGGATTACAGGCGCTTGCCACCATACTCGGCTAATTTTTTTTTTTTTTTTTTTAAGTTGAGATGGGGTTTCACCATGCTGACCAGGCTGGTCTCAATCTCCTGAACTCAAGTTATCTACCCGGCTCGGCCTCCTAAAGTGCTAGGATTACAGACGTGAGCCACCGTGCCCGGCCGGAACTGTGACTTTCTACTTGGAACTGAGCTCCCTTTCCAACACCAAAATGTGTCTTTCTCACAGCTCATTCCGTTGGAATTTCGAGTTCGCAAATTCTTTGTGCAAAACATCTAACTTCTATTTCTGTAACTGAACTTGATTTCAATTCCCATTGTGCTGGGTGTCAGAATCTTAATTATGTCAGGTAATTAAGCAACCTCTTCTCCCTTCTTACCGTAGACTGGGGGAGAGAGTCGAGGCCCCAGATGGGACTGGAGTATTCTCAGTCCGAACAGTGAACACAGAGTCACCCTCAATCCTCTCTATTCTCGCGGTCTTGAGGGGCCACTGCTACCTCCTCCTGGTCCTGGCCTTGAGGCTTCTCAGCACTGGCTTTCTCTGAATTCCTTCTGTGCACAAGTGAATCATTCAGCTTCTTCCTGAACCAATAAGGATTTCTCGCCCAGGTACTCCTGTTCCATTGTTACTCGACTGTTACTGCACCATGCTTGACCCCGAGGGGAACTCTGTGAACCTCACCACCTCCCCCAGCTTCCCAAGGGAGAAAGACACACGTACCCTCCCCTCTGAGACCTCCAAACCTGTGTGGGTGTCTGTCATCACTACCACTCCTGCACACCCGAGGACTGTGTCAGGAGAGGCGGATGCGTTGATGTCTAAGCGTTCTTGCATCCTTAACGTGGAAACCGGAAAGGCATGTTCTTTTCTTTGATCTCTGGATGTTTCATTTTGTTTTTTTGTCATCTCCATCTTTCAATGCCTCATGCAATGAATTGTATGTGGGAGGAAGGGAGAGGCAAACGTACAAGGACACAGAGGTATCCTGGGAGAAACTGTGACTCTTACTATAAAATATGAATCTCACTCACTTCTATAGCACCTTGTACTTTATTTTCATTTATTTATTTATTTATTTATTTATTTTGAGGCAGAGTCTCACTCTGTCACCCAGGCTGGAGTGCAGTGGCGCAACCTCCACTCACTGCGACCTCCGCCTCCCGGGTTCAAGCAATTATCCTGCCTCGGCCTCTCGAGTAGCTGGGAGTAGAGGTGCCTGCCACCACGCATGGCTATTTTATTTATTTATTAATTAATTATTTATTTATTTAGTAGAGACAGTGTTTCACCATGGTGGGCCTCAGACTCCTGATCTCAAGTGATTTGCCAGCCTCGGCCTCCCAAAGTGCTGGGATTACAGGCGTGAGCCACCACACCCAGCCAAAACATGGATGTCTAATGGGATAATTTCAAGCACTAAAGCAAGCTAATTGGGAGCGTCAATGGCAAGGAGCAGTAGTAATCGTTTATGAAATCATGATGAGGTGCTGGCAGCTGATGCACACTCATAGTCCCACTTAATTTTTCAAGTGAAATTCCCACTTGGGAGGAATTTACTATGAGCCATTTTCCAGATAAGAGATAGAGACGAGAGAGTCTCTACCTCTTCTTTGGTGCGAGGAGATTGGTGCAGTCGGTGAACGGCAGAAGTGGATATGCACCCAGATCTATCTCAAGTCCAAACTCCAACTCATCACTTCCCTAAATGTGGTCTATTCTGCCAGGCTGGATAAGGGAAGTGGTTCTGCTTCCAAACTTAATATGTGACAGATTTTTTTTTTTTGAGGCTGCAGGTGAGCTATGACTTGGCACCACTGCATTCCAACTGGGTGCCAAAGCGAGTCTGTCTCTAATTAAAATTAACAAACAATATCACCCAAAACAACAACAGGTGGGGCGTGTTGTCTCACAGCCTGTCAACGAGGACTTATGGGAACCGAAGTGGAGACCATGTTGGGCAGGAGTTCGGAGGGCAGCCTGGGCAACATAGTGAGGACTCCACCTCTACAAAAATAAAACTAGGGCCTTGTGCGCGCGCCTGTACATCCTAGCTATTGACGGAGGCTGATGGCAGGGGCGATCGCTTAGCTCCGTAGGTTGAGGACTGCAGTGAGCTGAGATCGCGCCACTACCACTCCAGCCTGGATGACAAACTAGGACCCTATTAGAAAAAAAAAAAGTGCCCCGCTCACTTATTTTCAGAAACGCG